AATGTATTTTCTTTGTCTCGTGTGTGTACTTGTGTTTTATTATATTTAATGTCTTTTGACCACAGATAATGTAACAAAATATATTATTTAGTGTCAAATAAAATATACTATACTATACTATACTATACTATCATACAGTACTACACTCTTTGGGACATAGAGAAATGTGCGATACAGAAAAAAACGTGCGATGCGTACAGTAGGAAAATACAGTTGATCTTTGCAAATTACAAAACTCTCGTTGACATCGACAAATACATAATTAACCGGACTGAAAATGACGATCTCGAAACGTCACTGAATCTGATGACTACCTCAACGCGGTCTACGGAGAAAACAGATCAGCGAGGCAAATAGTTACCTAGGACTTTGAAAACTAGAAAACAAAGGTACGACAACTTGTATATCAGCTGCTTCAGTTCAGCAACGATTTGTGTATCGAAACGCAGCTACATGAAGAATGAACGTGCATTCAACGCCACAAGTTTTTTGTTGTCCTATGACCTGACCAATCACATACATTCTTACTGGGTGCAAACGATTGTAACTGTAATGCGCCAATCAACACCGCTCTTATGGCAGTGTTACCCTGGAAAAAACGTTGATATTAAGTGATATATTGAAGATAATATTTGGTAATCGTAGTCCTAAATAACTATTAAAAATAGCTATTAATTGATATTAAGTGGGCGTGTAGTTTGTCAATCAATATTGCTTAGCCAATCAGAATTCATCTTCTGAGCCAGTGCAGATCCATTGACGTGCAGGTCGGCGTCTTCTACACCGTTTGTGCTGGGACAGCGCTTCCGGTGACAACACAACGAGTGCAGATCAACAGGGGCCCGGCATGGGACGAAAAGGTGACCACCGAACTCGGCCAGTGACCGTACTCGGCCAGTATATACGGACGAAAAGCGACGACGCCGACTAGACACAGTCCCTCGACGAAACAATACTGAGACGAAAAGCACTGGGGCGAAATAATACTGGGTAATAAACATGAAATATCACAGCCCCTTAATAATATTACGAAATATATAAAACCGAAAAAGATCTTTAAAATGAATGTGACGACTTTGATGTGACTAATCACAGTCCATTCATAGCCCTGAGTACAGTCCTGTAGGTTGGCCTTCTTCCGCTGATCATTCGGTCCCCTTGCCGTTTATTCGGTGTTATTTGCTTACAGTGTTAGCGGGGTCTATTTGAATTAAGTTAAAAGGTCCGTAACAATTTTTGGCTCATCTAGCTGGTACGGGAAATTACTTCCGGGTCTGGAGAACAATTGTTTGCCGAGTATGTCATTTTCATCGAACCCATCGTTTGTTAGAAAGTTCATTAAATTCACGAGTTACACAGATGGACGAGATAAGCTTTACAGGTAATGTAATATATGTATCACGTGTAGTTAGTGCGTATTATTATATGCACAGATAGTGGGTGACTTTATTTAGTGTGTGATGAGCGCCAAGGTCGGATCATGGAGCTACTGATTTACTATTGTTGGAGCATGGATGTACTAAGAAGTACATCCATGGTTGGAGCTACTGGGTACTGATTTGTCAACATGATATTTATTCTGTCAAATTATCGTTCAGTCCACAAACAAATTGAATAAGTACAATTAATTCACTCATTCATTCACAATTATTCATATTGTCATATTAGTTGTTTTTTACCAATGTCGTCGTCCACGATTCGTGCAGAGTTTGTTGACCCATGGTGGGCCATGGTGGACCCTGGACCTGTGTGATGGCAGAATTTTATTTGGACCGTACCAGAAGAACCACGAGTAATGTTCAATAATAACAACAACAAAACAAAATAACATTCGGGACAAAAAACTTACAGAACTAAAACATATCAAGAATACAGAAAATAAATTTGGCAAAAATGCTGAGAATGAAAAAAATCAATCATGCTAAAATCTTCCGACTTTGGGGCATATATGTACAAGGCTGGAAGGAAACTACATCTATGTTTTTTTTTATTATTATTGCAAATTTTTAACATCATCACATATTTACTACATTTTTTTGTACCTTATACTAAAATATGTTTGGATACTTAGATTACTAACAAAATCTCACGTCCAGTCCGGTTAGAGGTAAAATACACCACGAATATTCCCCTTTGAGATAATTTTTTTGTATGTGTTGGTTCTTGGATATCTAAGCTTCGTTGTCCTGTACTTCGTTTAGTAATTCGAACTTCCCAGTTTGCGTAAAAAGGACAAGTTTTGCGATTTAGACATCGAAAATTTCTTTGCTTCATTATTTGCTGAGGGACGGCCACTCTGGTATGTGCTCTGTAACTTGCAGCACATGAACTTAAAAACTTTAGGTAATCAAACAAAAATGACGTAGTACTAAAGTCCAAAAAGTAGGTTCAAGGTCCGCTTTGGTATGTGCTCTGTAACTTGCAGCAAATGAACCTAAAAACGTTAGGTAATCAAACAAAAATGACGTACTACTAAAGTCCAAAAAGTACGTTCAAGGTCTGCATTTTTTCGTAGCATAAAATTTTCATTCCCCTCAAGCATCAAAATGGTATGTCCCTTACCAAAATTCATTAAACAAAATGTATAATTTTTGTGTGCAAAAAGTATACAAATTCTGAATAAATTTGTATAATTTTTTTGTATACAAGAAGTACCCTATATTTGAAACAGATTTGTAAACAACAAGTATGCAAATACTATGCAAATAATGTACAAAAGATGTACTTTTGTATACAAGAAGTATCACATATTTGGAATGATTTTGTATACAAAAATTGTACAAAGCTCAATTCATAAAAAGGGCATTTATTTAACAAAATGAAATTCTACTTTATTGTGTGTTTCATTTGCCCAAGTGTATGGTCTTAATACACCACAGCATGTATTTGTATTTATCATTTAGAATTCAATTTATCAATTGTTTATGCTTACCTGACTGACTATGGAACATTCATTTACATCCAATGTTGTATCTGTTTGACATATATGTCAGCCAAGGATGTACAACAAACTGATTGTGGTGAGAGTAATACTAATTTATTTTATTGTGTTTTGCTCAACTGAAAATGCCAAAACTTCATATATAATGGGAAATTATATTTTAATTTAGTTAAATTGATTAAGAAAAAGTTCATAAAAATTGGCAATAAGTCATGTTAGGATCCAAAACAGGATAATTTTTAATATATGCAAATTAGGCAAACTATAAACAACTCTCTTGGGTAATGTGTTATACACACTTCTTATAATAACTATTTCAGTAAACTGTAGTAAAAATATAATTTTACTGGTATCCAAAAATATAGTTTAGTATTCCTGTAATTAATCTATTAAAAATGTTTTTATACTCTCTTATGAATTTAATTGAATATTAAATTTCATATTTTTGTACAGTTTATGTATACAGATATTGTATTATTGAGCATAGTTACGTTTATTCAGATTCTAAGTCCAATTTTTGTACATTCTATGTATACATAAATAGTACTAATATTTGTCAAGATCCAAGTCAATAATTTATTAATTTTTATGTTTCGCATGGTAGCTTGCATTGCCGATACGTGTAAATAAGGCAAATTTCTTCTGCAGTTTTCTAGTCTTTGACTAAATTTTCACTTATGTACTTGTTCGTTGAGGAGGAATGGACCATAATGCACACATAGTATCATTTTTTGTTGCATGGGGTTGAGTTAGATGCAAATATGTTCGCGTAGCTGGTCACCGTGATCGTCAGCGGCGCACGTTTGTTTGTACACAGTCGCTGGACAAAATAGAATTTAACGTCGGAATTATCTCGTTATTTATTCAGGGCAACAAACTACATGTAGTGCTTTGATTTGCCGCCACTCTTGTCTGACACCGCCACGGTGATTAGCAAGACCGCCACAGTGCTTTTTTCATTGGGTATCTCGTCACACTGGTTGGCGCGACCGGCACTCAAAATCAGCGACCACCACGGAAGCGCTTCCAGCCAGAACTATTGTCATATTGTTATTATACTTACGTACCGACAGACGCGCATCCTGCCAGTCGTGGATAATAATTTGTAAACAATAGACATAGTCGCACTATGTAAAATTAGAAACTCTTTTTTTGCGAGTAAATACTTTCAGACGATAGACACAGTCTTTAGATTGAAAGCTAAAATTCTTTCAAAATCAATTCAACCCTGATCAGTTTACGCTACTCATGAAAAAATGTGTTTATTGCATGATTGGGTAAAATACATTTGAACTGTTATCATCGTGAATCATGTAAAAACTCTTCGTTCAAGACTTCTTTTACCTTTTAAAAATTGCTAATCACCTCTTTCGAAAACCATCATGCAGTTTTCATCTGAAATTCATACCAACACATCGTGCTACAACATCGTTTGTAATTTTTTTGATCACTATCATTCGGAAAACTTTGGGTTCTACCGGCATTACCATGCTGCTTTCTGATTGGTTAATGGCATTTTTAACCCATCGGGACAAAGGATACATGCCGGTCAACTAATGTGTCATCATCAACTATCATGGCGGGTTTGTGTTTTCACCAAAGTGATCGAGTTATCAAAAATAATTGCTTCCAATAAACTAATTCAAAATTT